TAATTTTTATTGTCCTGAAAGCAAGTGCTTGTCCATAGAGAGTTGCAGACAAAATTAAAAGAAATTAAACGGCCTCTGTTTTATCAGTATAATTTTCTATACGACATGAATCTTACCGTACGTTAATGATATGCCTTAGTAAAATATATTAAAATAATATTACAATTATTTAAAATTATATTTAATAGATCTAATGTAAATGTAGGGAGTATAATATTAGTAATACTAGGGTGATTCTCCGCGCTACGCGCGGATAAGTGGTTTATTAGTTTTGGTTAGGAGCATAATTTTTATTTTGCTTTCGCATTTATAACATTCTATTTTACTGTTTGTATGAAATTTGATGATTATTAGATTTTGAATGGTTAGCTAGGTTTGTTTATGATTAAAAAATTTCTGCTATTTTTTTGTATTTATGTGAATGTATTTGGGAAAATATGTAATTTTCATGGTGAGTAAAGTTTACCTTCTCTATGGCTAAATAAGCCTCAGGTCAGATGTATGAGTTACCAATACATACGTTGAGTGCATAGATTAATTCGGCAAACCTGCGGGTGTGAAGGTGAGGAGTTTCAAGGCTAGTTGGGATTGGGAGACGCCTTGAAGTTGGCTGCGGTGTTTGCCTAGAACCTCACCCTCGAAGATTGTTAGAGGTTTCTTAGTGAATTAGACAACTTTCCTTTTCTGATGTATCAGTTGTGTCTATGTGGTCATTCATAATGAGGCCGTATTAGTCATCCAGTCTGGAGGACAATGCAACTGGACAACTCAATGATTTATAAAGTACTTATCGGCGGATAATAGATTGGAAGTGTGTCCATAGCCTAGTGAGAGAATAACTCTCATTTATGTCCCTCAACCTGGCTTCGAAGAAGAATAGTAACACCTTTTTTATATTTGGTTTTTTTTTTTGGTTAAACCACATTTATACATTTCTTGTTTTTAAGAAATTAGTTTGCGTAAATAATTAAAAGTGGTAAGGGGAGGCCATTTTTTATAAAAGTAAGCTGAAATGTTTGTTTACCATTAATTATTAATATTGTTTTTATAATAGATCCTGCAAGCTAGCATATATATATATATATTGTTTTACATGTTTGATATGCCTCAACATTATAACTATAATTTTATCTTCCACTGCGGGAATTATAACTTTAATTTTAATACCTCCGATTGTATTATTAATAATAATAATAATAATAATAAGCTGCATGCTGCGCTATTTCACCTGTTGAATGTCACGTTCTTCGAAATCATATAGAATTTGAATCTTATGTGTAGCATATTTATTTAACATGTTTACCAAAAAAAAAAATTGTGTAGCATATTTGGAATAAATAGAATATTATGGTGTGTTTACATCAAAGTAAGAAACAAAAAGTTGGATTATTAAACATTGTTAAGAAATACGGTTGTTAGAAGATTCCCAAATTTCCGTAAGCAAAGGTGTAAGTGGAATACGAACCCACTCAAACTCAACGACCATGAGTCATGGCGTGTGATAAATGGCCAGGATTCAATTGTCGGTCGAGTGTGTCGCCACTAGTGGAAAGCCTTTATATTTTTTTTTTCTTAAATGGTTATTACACTAATCAATATACCTCTAGAAAATTAATACCCCTTTTTCTTTGTCCTATTAAATATTTTGATGGTAAAGATGATAATCAAAATGTCCTTTTAGCATATTGTGTAGTAAATTGTAAAGTACAGTTTACTTTCATAATTTACATAGCCAATCCGTACCAAAACCTTACACATTAAGTACAAAAATTATGGAAACACAAAAAGTATCACATTATTAAAATTACATACAATAAAACTCCATAAATTAATAATATTTGAACTATGGTATTTTATTAATTTTTTAATAAAAAATATTTTGAAAAATATTTTGGTTCTAAGATGAGAAAAATATATTTAAATTTAGTATATGTACATTAATTAATTTTCGAAATTTATTATTCATTTTGGCTTTATTGTATTACTAGGTATATATAAAAATGTTTCATAGAATTTAAATGCAAGTTGTTGGTGTGATGAGATTTCATCCTTTAACAACGAGGGATCTACTAATATGAGGTTACTGAGCTATAAACAATATGGGCCTGGTCCAATATAGTGGTAGTACAATGAACAGCTACTAAGCAGAAGCCCACATACTTGATACATATTGTACCTCCTGAAAGATATATAGAGAAAATTTCATGCCTGGAAAATCAAATTTATGTCTAAAAGGAGCGGCTATTGAGTCCTTTCATTTTCCTTCAAAAGTAAGATTCCGCACCCTAGGTAGGTTAATTAACTCTGATTAGGCACTTGGTGCATCTTAATCCAAGTTTGTTAAGGTGATTAATCGGGTTACTCCATTAATCTACGTCTAATGATGAGAGAAACAAACTAGTCAACATCAAACTAAGCCCTTTTCAAAAAGAAAACATCAAACTAAGCATTTAACCAACAAAATATCTCAATTTCCCTAAGAGCTATTCACTAGAAAATATAAAATTAATGTACTAGGAGGGTAAAACGATAAAGATTGAACAAGAAAAGGTAAAGATAATTATAAATCATTTTTAATTCTGTCGACGAATAAATTTAGCAGATCTGATTTTTTAAAATCTTGAAGTAATTGCTTTTGTTCATCTAATGATAAGTATCCAAAAATGGTTTATGATTATACAGTATTTTTTTTTGTCAACGATTATACAGTAATAAATAGCAAAAACCATTATTATTTTATAAGTAAAATCATGAAATTAAATGTACACCAAACATATATAATTTTTATTCTATGTAATGATTTCACATAACCACTGTAATTATTACAAGTCTGACCGTTTTTCTTAAATGTTTCAACAACTATGATATGATTATTACATCTTTCTACACAATGTTTTTTTTTTTTGTTTTGGTAATTAGTAATCACTTCCTCTTTTATTTTCCGTTATTCACTAATGTCGGACATGTGACACAATTGGTTGGACGATGACGTCGTCGTTCCATATTTCCATCTCTGGTATATAATAATCAGGATTCAAACCAGTATTGTAAGAACCGGGCCGGTTTAGTCCATGGAACGGTGATTGTGGGATCTCATAACATGAGTTGGGCCCATTTAGCTGCGAGGCAACGAGACGATCCAAAGCAGCCCAGCTAGTGACGAGGCTGGGGTCCACAGATTTACCAACGTGGCAGCTGTTGACTTGGTCGTCCATCAACCGCTGGTAACTCGCGACGGTGTTGTTAGTGCACTCGAGGTTGGGAAGTTTCAAGAAAGGGTCTAAGATGGTCTCTTCTTTACAAGACTGCCCCATAACTTCAAGAAATTGCTCGATAGTCTCCTCATTGAACGGCGGCGTTTTCATCGATCTCGGCGGGCTGCTGACTACAGTTTTGCAAAGACTCTTCTTCATGAAAACACGACACACCACCCATCCTTCGTCTCCTCCTCCTCCTATGACTTCACACGTTTCTAGAGTGACGTCATCGTCAAGATTCGAGGAGGAGACTAGTACATTCTCGTCGAGTCTATACTCATGCATGATCCAGTCTGATTTTTGACCATGTGGGGCTCGACCTTTGTAGAAGACAAGTGTTTTCCGCATACCGATCCTATCGCCATTGCTGTATATGATCTTGTCACGTCCCGTTGCTTTCCAAAACCCGACCGTGGTCGCTCGGTTGGTTCTTGTTCCCGTGGGATACTTCTTGTCCTTGTGGCTAAAGAAGTACCAATCGTTTTGTGGCGTTGTTCCAATCTTACACATCTCTGTATACCAGAACAAGAGTTAGGTTCTTAACTGATGAATTGCAATGGATGAGATTAAGACGAGTATAATTATTTCTTCAGTCAAATAGTAACTTTTTAGCAATCAACCAATTAAATTATTGTATTCTGTGAATTTCCCTGAGGTGAAATCACTAGATGAAGCTTTAGTTTATGGCTCAACGTGACGGATTAATTAAATGTAATATAAACCAGCCATAGATATACGTTTTTGTCAGGAAACAAGAAAAGTATATTTATCCAAAATTATAATTATGAGACATATAAAAGAACAATGATGAACCTTGAATATCCCAGGGCTCGAGCTTGTTGAGATCAACATCACGAATAACATCGAGATCAATCTTGATGTTAGATATTTTCTTGCGGAGGTAATACTGCAAGAGCTCTTCCTCAGTCGGGTGAAACCTAAAGCCAGGAGGCACTTGTGACTGTCCATTTACTGATATGTTCATTGTTAAAGACAGAAGAGAGGAAGAAGAAGAAGATGATAGAACGAGTTTATAACTAACCAAAGTGTGTTTATATATACATGTGTGTGTACCTTTGACAAAAAGAGGCAAAAAAATCATGCATGAGGAGAATGCATGTGTCCCTTTGCTCTCACTTTTTTATTCTCTTTTTAATAAGTTTTGCTTTTAAAATTGGAAAGTACTAGCTAGTTGTATTTCCTGGATACTTGGTGTTTCCATGATGTCATAATTGATAATTCGTTCGCATGTGCCGCCACTTACTAATAAACATATGAGCCTCTAAGAACTTATTTTAGTAATTATGAAATTATGCCTGTTATATATATTCCCCAGTGGAACTCATGGTGAGTTCCATGGAAAATTACAACCTATGAGCTAACTGTGGATCACAAAAATCTTTTGAATAAGCGTCTTTAGTTTGGGTTTCAAGACATCATCAACTCTCGATCAAATACACTTTTAGAAGAGTTAGAGTTTTGGTTTTACCTACCCTTTGCCTCCAACTGCATAATCGCAACTCAATGATGTTAGTTTGAACTTGTGTTTGCCACTATTTCTAAACTCTACTAATGGTTAACTTGTACGAGACTCTAAGTTTACATTTTATCACAACCGTTTTATGTTCTTCTGTCCGACTTAATAAAACATCCCAATTATTTAACATATAGTAAAACGCCAAAAATCATTAGTAAAAAAATTATTCACGTAATTCTAATTCACAAAGACAAGGTCAAGATAGATAGAGTCTCTTAATCTCATTATTCAAAGATAAAAAGGTCCTTTATTTGCTGCTTTTTGGTAGTATATCGTAATTACAGCGGAAGAAATAAAGAGTAAAAGGTTGTGACACAAGGTGGGACCAGGTCACGTAGCTATTGGGTAGAAGTAGGGCCCACGTGGGATCAACATGTCAACTGTAAGTAGGAAGCAAGCCCACATCGCTACTGTGACCCTCGACCTTAAAAATCTCTATGGACAAGACATTAGTCATTTTTTAAAGAAAAATAAAATAAAAACTTGAGGGAAAGGCAAAACCACTGGCATGTGATGAAAGAGTTCATTAATATATATTAAGTTGAATACGAGATTAAAAACTACTAGCTTAACTTTACGTACTTTCGATGTGGATTCAAGTAATATATCAGTGGTTGTTCTAAAAGGTACGTAAGAAAGATGACGATAGACTTGGCCTATGATGAGATGTAATATACTACACCTACATGACAATTCCCAGTGTCACAAAAAAAAATGACAATACCCAATCTCATGAAAATTAGAGGATGGAGATAAAAAGAAATTCATAAATATTAAAATATGTTTCAAGCCTTTGTAAACCATTACAACCAATCATATAATTATTCTCGAATGAAATTCATATATTTGGCAAAGAAGGAAGAAGAAAAATATATGTTTCAAGGCAGCGTTCATCGAAACGGGGTCAGTAATCTGTGACTCGTAAATCAAGCATGCAACTCACTCGGACTATTAAATTAAAACGTATCCATGCATATTCAAGGAAGAGAGTGGATTCATCTTAATCTTTAAAAAATAATCACATGAATCTAGATGAACAGCTGTTTTCTACTGTCTGCAAAGTATGTACGTACGTATGTTGTAGATTTTGTGGGGACCGATTTACAAACGGTTATTTTTTTTTTGTATTTTGTTATTTTACATGGGTTTGAGTTTATATAAGAAACCAATGCTCCTTGTTACATCATCACTAGGCAAGTAGCAGCGGGTCTGAAAAAGCTCACTCTGTAAATGGAATACTATCTTTATCCTTGATAGGCTTTGAACTCAAAACAAATTGATAATCACTGAAATTTGTTGTATGTTTTAATTTCGTTTTTATGTTATTTTTTTAACTTTACGAGATGGAGTCCTAACAAAACTATAACAAAATAAATGGATAGTGGCTCATGTGATGACCTAGATAGAGGCACATGAGCTATCGAGCTCTCTTGTTTTTTACGCTAACAAAATATATGCTTATCGCACACATTGATAAATCATATTTAGTGTTGGTCAAAATACTAGTATAATTTGTGTCGGTATCTTGTGAGCAGCCGTGTTGGCGAAAGCGGATTAAGAAAATGAAAATAAACTTATCTTTGTTAGTGATCAAGAAGCAAAATGTATATTTTCTAGGAGACGAAGAAAGTTTGCATGGGAAGCAATCTTAATTGATGTATTATCGTCATTGTTTTTGTCAAAATTTTCAATGTTATGGTGAGATATCATATGACTATATACTGATATACACGTACACGTGCTTGTCAGACGACGGTAAAAATGAAGTCTAGACCCTTTTGGAAAAGTTCACCTCTTGAATCAATGTCAATGATATAGTAAATTAAGTTCAATGGATATAAAGTTGCTGCCAAAACAAATTCTGCATATTCACATTATCTTCTTTTTTTTTGCAAAAAATTTCAACAGTGATAATACTGATTTATACTGTAACACTATAAGTAAACTGCTGCTGGTGAAGGCCTTCGTTATATATAGTGTTTATATGCAGTTTTTAGAAGTGACATTGTAAGAAACCCAAAAAAACTAAACGTGTAAATAATAAGAGTACTTATGTTAGAAGATTTGTAATATTTGAATGTTGTAACGAACGTAATTTCTTGGTACATATCTGATGTATATCTCTCGGTATATTATATACAAGGAATATAAAGCATGATAAGTAAATAAGAAAATTTGTCATTAGCCGCCATACTACAATACTATATACGGTGTTATAAACTAATGACGACGTCTCATTAAGGAATGTTAATGAAACCTGAATTCTTTAGGAGGACTAAATAATGAGAGGAAGTTCCAAAAGAGTGCAGAAACTTAAAGCAATAGGGCTAGAGAAAATCATATGAAATCATGGGGGAAGAGTACGTGAAATGGACGTACGATCTGTCATGTTATAAATCCTTCTAAAGTCTCTATTAATGTGTATATATAATATTAAGGACCTACTGTTGCCAAAAAGTTATTTGCACGTGTTCCTTGAAACACTCGTTACGCTGTAACTCTCTAGACAATTTCCTCTTTTAAGTTTTTTTTTTCGTTGATAAGGATCATCGTCTTTGATGCTTGTTCTTGTTATTTTAACTTTTAATTACTTCTGAGGAAATCCAAATCAATTTTATCAAGCGATAGCCTTGTAAAAAAGTTTAATGACTGATATAAGTTACAATGAAAGTCAATATTTTAATTTTACAATATTCGGGTCTCTTTCTCAATTTAAGTTTTTAAATTGCTATGTATAACTTAGGAGTTTAGAGATACTTAAACGGAAAAAATAACTAATTCCTTGTCTTGTTTCTGTAGACTTATACATGTCTGAACTTATGCAACTTGTTCGAATCTAGATGTTGTTTGAATACTTAAGACAAATATTATATGTGGTTTGACCGTTTGAGGGATGAGAAAAACATTTAGTTTCTTACTGCTGTCTGCTGATCGTGGGGAAGATGACTAGTGTGGATATGCCCGTGAATCTTAGGATGTCCAGCTTCTATCTTAAATAGTTTATTCTTTGTTTGTGAAAATGCTGTTCAACTTTTATTCTTGTAGGTTGTACAAATTCTAATGTTTATATTGGTTAAGATTTATGTTGTAATTAGGTACTTGTAACTAACGAATTTTTTTAAGAATGGCTACCTGCAGAGGTGAACTTGACTTTCTTTTGGTCTTTCTTTTTGTTAAGGTAGTGGTATTACCTAAGTGACCAAGGTGATGTCGAATTCGAAACAATTTGCAGTTCTCTAGAACGATGTTCTAGAAGGTCATAAAGACAAATAAATTAATTCAAAGATAAATACATGACATTATGAATACATCAGGAAATTCATTCTAGGAATAAAATCTCCAATATTAACAAATCTCAAGGATATGATGTGAAAACCATGAAGAGCTCTAGTAGAAGTGCTAACAGTTTGCAGTTTTATCAAAGTAGTTGACCTCATGCAATAAAATAAATTACATCAATTTAGTGAGACTGTTCATAAATTTCACCACGCCTTTTTCTAATGCCAGAAAGTTTCAGAATTACCCCAGTAAGGCTATACATACTAGTTAGCAGCCTTGATGGTACACATATACGAGGATCAACCTAATTAGAAACCAGCCCTAATTAATTTGTCTTTTATGCTGTTTGATGATAAAAATGTAGTCTCCACAAAACCAGTTCAAACCTATAATGTACTGTCTATATAAACAATTTTTGGTTAAAATTACCTTATTACAATACCAAGAAGAGAGTTATCGAAAAAAATCCCAAAAATCAAATATGTATTTAGATCGACATTTTCGACATCTAGTGTCTTATACTATTATTTTAAGGTATATATTAGTAAAAAAATGTTAACATCTTCCAATTTTCTGGTTGTTGATGCAGTAGGACAGCTGAAATCGAATCATTGGTGATTTTTAATAAAATCTTTGTCGTCTAATATTTGTGTTCTTCTACTCTTTGGTATCTCATGAGGAGCTAATTAAGTATTTAATAATTTGCATGCATGAGAGAAAGGTACGTACCCTTTGGTTTCATTATTAAATATACTAAATATCGTGTAGTAGTAAACTTGAACTATGTGCAGGGCTGCCCCTTAGATTTACATAATCCTTAGATTTACATAACCCTAGGTGATTCATGAAAGATTTGAAATAACTAAAAAAAAAATTGAGGGCTTAAACAAAAATTTTAGAATATTTTGTCTATATAATTTAGGACTTAAAACGAATATTTTGTTAGACTTGGATCATAACCGGTCCTTACCATGTGCTCTC